CCTTCACATGCAGTATAGTTTTTGTTTTGTTTTCCCCCCACTCTTTTTTTCCCCCCTTAGTCAACTGTGTGCGAACTGTAATCCACAACGTCCGCTAAGACACCAAAAATCGCCTTTTCACCTCAAACGGAGGCAGAATAAACAGCCTAATTTGCATCTCCAAAAAAAGCCCGGGTCTTGCGTCTCACTGCTGCCCGTGACAAGGAGCCGAACTCGGCGTGTCCGAAAACCTCGCCCGTGCTGTGGCGCGGCTCGCTTCCACGTCTCCTTTCATGATTAACACTTCCATAGGTGGACACTTTGGCTCCCTATCTGCTTCTCTGTGTCTCCCCCGACGGCTGTCTTCGTCGGGGAGAAGTGGGGGGGCCCAGCAGGACAGGAGGAAGGAAAATAATATTTACACCCAAACGAGCTACATGTGTGATATTCTCACTGCTTCCGTCGTCATCCGGCTCCTTTTCAGTCGCTGCATCAAATCAACCCGAAACAGCTCCAAACTCACTGCGGTTGTCTTTACGGCTGGGTCCCCCACCACCTCCAACTCCGACACGATCCAATATCCCCCCCGATTTGTCCTCCTTATTTGTGATGGCTGTTCCTTGCTGTGTTTTCTCCTCCAAAGGGCCTTCTCTCTCTCTCTCTCTCCCTGCCCCTCGCTTTTGTTGCTGAAATGTGTTATCAGCCCCTCACATCACCAACGAGCCTCCAAAACTGCGCACCGATACACTGTATATATATATATATATATATATATTAATTCCCGGGGCTCGGCTCCGATGAATCATTTAAAGAAGAATTAAAAATAAAAAATAATTTAAAAAAAAAAGAAAGAAAAGAAAAAAGAAAACGTGACCAAGATGTGAAAATCCCTCGAAATGTATCCACGTTTCTTGCAGGTGAATAATGAACCCCCGCTGTCAGGCTCAGTGTGTCATAGCCTACATAAGGCCTATATATGCACACACACACTCATACATATACATATATATATATATATATATATAAGGCTACAAGCCTGAGACTACATGTGCATTTACATTCACATAAAATAGGACGCAGGGTTGTAGCAGCACATTGCCACCGCGGAGGCCGCTCCCCTCCCGGCCGCTGGTCGAGGAAGGTGAAAGACAGGAATAACCAATTCTTGGAGGTTATTATTTTCTCCCTTTCTCTCCCTCTCTCTCTCTCTCTCCGAGAATAGTAGCCTACATTGAGGAGATAGACAGCGCTGAAGAGAGACGGGGTGGGGCCACACGGCGCTCATTGAACCCTGGGAAGGAAGGACCGACAGAGGAGGAGAGGAGAGGCCGCCTCGCCTCGTCACGTGGCCCGGGCGCGGAGCAGCGTCAGCGGCGCGGCTCTGCGGAGGAAACGGCGCCCTCTTCAAAGGAAGACACCGCACACGGGTTGGAGGGTAGCAGACAGACATGTACTGCAGCCGGGGGTGAGAGAGAGGGGGTGAGGGTGGGGGGGTTACACGGCCTGTCACAGAGGACACCACGATAACGCAAAATAATGCAAATAAAACCACAAATAATACATAAACTCTCTCTATCACACACACACAGTGACATACATGAATGGATATTCAGAAAATAATGCGATTTGGACTGTATAGATGATAAATGAGCTTCCCAGTGATCTGTTTTGCTGTGTTTACAACGATTAAATATATATATTTGATATAAATGAACCTATAGCCTAATGGTGTACAATCTGAATTCAAGTTGTAGTAGCATTAGTTCATGTTATGTTTCTTTAAAGCCTCTTTAAACACCGTTTAATAATACAAATAACAATAATACATCTTACTACAGATACATGTGGGCAGAAATTTGTTTTATATATAAACCTGTATCAGGACACATGGGTAAATATCATGGGTTCACAGTGTCCATCTATGTTTTGGATGAGAGGCAGATTACACTCAGGCCCCGTCTATCACAGGGCAACACAATCAGACACACACATTTACACTTACATAGGTGTGTGCTGCAGAAGTTAACAATTTATCCAACCTGCATGTCATTGGACTGTGGAAGGAAACAGCAGCACCTGGAGGAAACCCACTGACACAGCCAGTAGACCGCACACAGTAAGAACCTGAAACCAGGAGCTTCACTCTGTGTGGACGCATGAAGGCGTCATTGTGCATTTATAATGTGCAGACCTCGCAGGTTAGCAACAATAACCACAAAAAACAGTTTATTAGGAAAACAGCATACCAATACAACAGCCCTACAATATTATGTAATAATAATAAATATAATATTTACTTGTTTTCATGCCTTTAATCTTCTGCTCTAAATTACTGACCGATGTTATTGATGCGTAGAAATATTACAAAGTATCAACAAGAAGTTAATCAACCTCTGAGAATGAACAAATATGTAAAAAAAACACTTTTGAAATACTAACAATTACTTTTAGACCCTATAAAATGTATATTTGAACAATTAATGGGGCTTCCCTACATTTTCTGGGCTATAGCTTATTATAAATTCTGTAAATGTTAAAGGAAATCATGGTTCTTCAAATTAATTATGATATTTAATCAAAGGTTGGTAATAATTACAGGAGGCCATCGGCTCTGTTGCTGTTAGGTCTGTTAAACGCTAGGTGGCAGCAGTCTTTTAACTCTGAGAAGCAGGTTTGGAGTTAAGTGCTGTCAAAACAAATAATTGCATCATTATCAGACATTTCAGAATATGTAAAAACAAATCTATGATTAAAAAGTATTTTCTAAAGTGACTGTGCAAAGCAAAACTGTCTGCTAAATTTCTAGTCTAAATAGTCTTAAATGTGTGGGGTAGGTTTTGGAATGAAATCTTAACGTGACCAGGAACCTAAAATAATATTATATTGATCATTTATTATGATGATCAATTAATTCACATGATATGTATAATAATTAATCTTTCATTCCTGATGTGTTATTATGATATAGGTTGATTGTAGGAGCCATTTTCTGGCAGTAAATTGCTGAATAACATAATAATTATAATTCTATATTCTATATATATATATATATATATAAAAATAACTATTCTGGACTGTGACAAACATTTCTGGATTTAAATAGGTGTTTATTGTGGACTGTCCATCTTAAAATGTATTATGTTGTGACCTTATTAAAAACACTAACATGCCTTTGGTAAATCTGGTGTTTGTTGAAACTTCTTCTTCAAGCTTCTGTAAACTATAATGGATCATTTTTTCTATAATGAAAAGCAGCTGATCTATTTCCTCCATAGCCGAACCTTCTAACTCCACCCAGACAATCAACCAGGGCCAAAAGCAGGACAGAGGACCAGCGAAGCATGGTTTGTCTAAAAGTGAAATGCATCTGTGAGCAGACTAAAAGCAGTGGAAAGCTCTGTATTTGAATCCCCTGGCTGTCCCTCGGGTTTTGCGGTGGGCTTTGGTAGTGAGTGTTATGATGACCTGGTGCTCTCCGGAGCTTGAGGCCAAATCAGTCAAAATCTCTGAGGAGAGCAGCCTCCCATCTGTTAGACCAGCATGAAAAACATTACTGCCACGTCTCTTGTCTCCAGTTTGGTTTTCACAATGTGCCATTTATGAATATGTCTGTGTATCAGCTCTATGAAGTAAAGATCCCCTCCAGACATGTACACAGATAGTATCATTGGACAAATAATGTGCATCTCCTCCTCCTACCTTGTTAAAAAATCAGGACTCTATGAAAATGCAAATGTTGTTTATTTAAGGAATTAAGTTTCCCTTCTGGACACAAGATGTCTCCTCCTTCACTGTAAAGTCCATTCTCAGTGTCTGTGCACTGCTGGATATAAGTTTCTACATCACACTGTATAAGTTGCAAATTGCACCATGAATGACTTCCAAACTATTTGTGATTTCAAAAATCCTGCTGGTAGGCCCTTTAAAAATCTGATTTTCAGTGAGCACAGAGAAACTTACCACTTTCAGCAGATGAATGTGAAAACAACCTTTTAGAGTTTAACTCTGCACATCCATCATTCAAACATCACACTGTAGGAACAAGAAGAACAACATATTTTTAAGTTTAGGGGGACTTTAGAACAAGACACACACCTGGAAACGTTAACCTTTCTTTGCATATTGATCGTGAAGACAAGTCAAAACTCCGAGCTTTGAATCACAATCTGCCGTCAGCTGTCTCCCCATCACATTCCTTCACTCCACCGCTGTGCTTGTTTTGTAAACATAAGTTCTGTGGGTGTTTATATCCACAGTCTATGCTCGGTATTTCTATTAGTTTCGGCATACAGGGTAAAAATGTAAATTGCAGTGGCCCTTTGTAGAACTTTACTGCTTCCTGTTTAGCTCTTTGTTGTGGTAGACACACATGTTATCACTAAACTGTTAAGACAAAACATGCCTTTCAATTTAAATGTCCAAATACTGGCTTCTGCTCTTCCCTCTTCTCTGCTGTGGTCTTTGCATTCTCAGACTTTTCTTTGGTACATTTGCATACTAATGGTACACATACTTCAATTTGCACACTGTTAGTGTGTTGTATTAAGAGGAAAAAGTGTAAGAGGGGTGTGAGTTAAATGACCATATGTAAATGTTAGAGGAACTGGTGTAAGATAATTCCTAATAACAGATCAATATTGGCTCAGCACTCATCAAAACCAGGCCACTAAACTGTAAGAATTTCCCAATCATGCGTCAGCGAGCCTGTCAGCCATTTTTGGTTAAACAAAGCTGATTACATTCTGGGCCATTCGCTTCCGCACTTCCCCTTGAACACAAGCAAGAGCACAAATTATTGATCAAGCTTTGACTCACTGTAAGCTTAACATAATTCTGACCTTAAAATTAAACCAAAGCTTTCACCATAATCCTGAGAACTTGTGTGAAAGTGAAAAAAACTTAAACTAAATAGTTTCCCCTC